AAAAAAAAAAAACAAAAAAAAACCCCTTGCCTGCATGTTACAGCTCTTTTAGAATTTTTCTGGCAGGCTTATGGTCTTTATTGAAAGCCCATTGAGAAATTTATATTAAAAAGGAAAAGAAAAAATAAAACATGCCTGTGACAATTAAGGTGGTCTTCTACATTTGATCTTAGCTAAAAGCCTGAGAAGCGATAATGTCGTCTTCTAAAATGTTTATTTCTGTTACTGTTCTTTGTAATAATATAAAAACTTTGAAGAGTTTTTAGCAAATATTTATGAATATTCTGTAGTCTCTGGTATATTGCTACATAGATGGGTTATATACTTTTTGGTTTACATACTATTTAATTTGCTAGTTTATTTGCTATGTTAATTTTCTTCATGGTGGAACATTTAAGACAATCCTGTTATGACTTTACGTAGAGCCTGTTTTAATTAATAGCCCTATAGCATCAACTAAAAATTGTATTCTGAGCAATTAAAAATCAGGTGTCTCTTTGTCATTATGTGGCTATTTTCATTTTCTAGGGATGCTTGGAGTTCACTGGGTGATATGACCAAAGAGGAAGCCATGATTGCATATGTTGAAGAAATGAAAAAGGTAGGGAAAATAATTCACAGTTAAAATGAAAATTCAGAGCGGCTCTAATTTAATTTGGTTTATTAGACAAATTAGCTGCCTTGTTTTAAGGAGATTGTAGTATGTTAAACAATGGAATCTAGGTTACTGGATTTATAGAACCTTCTGTCGCATGAAGTCCATCTTAAGATGTGTTCTTTCCTTCAGATGTATCACACTGTGATGATGTGATGTCTTATTTTTTTTATTTTTATTTTTTTTGAGACAGAGTCTTACTTCGTTTTGCCCAGACTGGAGTGCAGTGGCGCGATCTTGGCTCACTGCAACTTCCGCCTCCTTGGTTCAAACAATTCTTCTGCCTCAGCCTCCTGAGTAGCTGGGACTACAGGGACGCACCACCATGCTCGGCTATTTTTTGTATTTTTAATAGAGACAGGATTTCGCCATATTGGCCAGGCTAGCCTCGGACTCCTGACCTTGTGATCCACCCGCCTTGGCTTCCCAAAGTGCTAGGATTACAGGTGTGAGCCACCTTGCCCGGCTGTGATGTATTATTTTGTTTTTGTTTTTGTTTTGAGACAGAGTCTTGATCTGTTGCCCAGGCTGAAGTACAGTGGCGCAATCTTGGCTCACTGCAACCTCTGCCTCCCAGGTTCAAATGATTCTCCTGCCTCAGCCTCCTGAGTAGCTGGGACTACAGGGGCAAAACACCATGTCCAGCTAATGTTTGGATTTTTAGTAGAGATGTGGTTTCGCCATGTTGTCCAGGCTGGTCTTGAGTTTCTGACCTCAAGTGATCCACCTGCCTCAGTCTCCCAAAGTGCTGGGATTACAGGCATGAGCCACTGCGCCCAGCCTGTTTTTTTGTTTTTTAATCTTCCCAATCTTTTTCTATAGTTAACTTCTGGAGAAAGTGTAGAAATAGTAATCTTTGAAAATATTAAAGTCCCTTATTCAGGAGTCTAGAAAGTACCTGGACTCTCTTCAAAGTATTTCTGCTTTGGAACTTTTTACTTAGTTCAACAATGTTCTCATGTACATTTTCACTCATAAATTGAGGTAGGTATTCTCATCACTGGACTTCTCTGTAAGAAGTCACATTTTTCTGCTTTCCTTCAGAAGCAGAATAAGATACAGAAGTTTTCAAGTTCTCTGCTGACTAGTAAGAAGGGGTGTTCATTATTAACTAGCTCTTTTAAGTGTGTCAGAGGCATTCTTTTGAGAGCAAGTGTATGAAGAAATCATGAATTTTTTTCCCCCATTTATTTATTTTATTGCATTTTAGGTTTTGGGGAGAAGTCATGAATTTTAAAGATGATCATAGAGACTTTTTTTTTTGTTTGAGACAGAGTCTTGCTCTGTTGCCCAGGCTGGAGTGCAGTGGCATGATCTCAGGTGACTGCAACCTCTGTCTCCCTGGTTGAAGAGATTCTCCTTCCTCAGCCTCCCAAGTAGCTGGAATTGCAGGTGCATGCCACCACGCCTGGCTTATTTTTGTATTTTTAGTAGAGACAGGGCTTCACCATGTTGGCCAGGCTGGTCTGGAACTCCTGACCTCAGGTGATCCACTTGCCTCAGCCTCCCAAAGTGCTGGGATTACAGGCGTGAGCCACTGTGCCTGGCCGAGACTTTTTATAAAGAACCATTTTTATGTGAGACATGGATCAGAAGTTGTGAAATCTACGTTTGATAATCTTAAGTAAATTATCTTTGAACATAATCTGTAAAAAGGAATAATTTTTTGCCATATGGTTTGATAGTATTAATCTCTGTAGTAATTTTTATTTGTTGTTACTAGATTTAGACTAGTTTTTTGTTGTTGTTTTTCTTTTTAAATTTATTTCAAACTGCTCATAGTTGTGCCCTTTGTTGTATTCTTGCAGTTTTTATTTGGTGGACTTTGTAATGAGGGCAGAGTTTAAGTTCCTTTGGCTGTTAACTATGTCAATAACACCATAACAAATAGACCTTTCAAAAGCAGAGAAAGAAAGATCATCTAAAGCCTTTTGGTTTCATAACTATTTGTCTCACTTTTTTTTTAACCTTAAATGTATTTATAGTTTTTAGGACATACTTCTATAATATAAAGTTGAATTGACACGTTAAGTAAAATTTACCCATTTTTTCTATTCAATTGTGTTAATCGGTTGTATAGCCAGTTTAAAGTGGGAGAACGACGAAGCAATGTGTATTCTGCCTTTTTCCCCTAGAAAGATTAAAACTATATTGCTGCTAAAATAACTCCTTCTGTAATTAAAATAATTTAATATTGTCATTCACACTTTAAAAATTTCATTGTATATTGTGAATATGACAAAGTTTACGGTACAGTTTTAGAGATAAACCTAGACATATCAAGATATCCGTAAATTGAAAATGTGATTACTCTTTTGAATTATTTTTAGAGTTTAGCTTTATGGCTATCAATAAAAAAAAATTGGATTTTTCTAAATAATTTTGCAAGATAGTACATTATCCCAAAGATCTGATTATTGAATTTGGGACTTACTCTAATTGCAATAATTTACTAACTGAAGCACTTGTTAAATTATTTCCTTAAATATAATTCATCAATTACTATAGTATTGCTCTTTGTCATTACTCTTTTTTTTTGAGACAGGATTTGGGGTCTGGTTCTGTAGCCCAAGCTGGAGTGCAGTGGTGTGATCTTAGCTCACTGTAACCTCTGCCTCCTGGGTTCAAGCAATTCTTGAGCCTCAGCCTCCCAAGTAGCTGGGACTACAGATGCATGTCACCACACCCAGCTAATTTTTAGTATTTTTAGTAGAAATGGGGTTTTGTCATGCTGGCCAGGCTGGTCTCGAAATCCTGACCTCAGGTGATCCACTCACTTTAGCCTCCCAAAGTGCTGGGATTACATTGTGCCCTGCCTGTCATTATTCTTTGCAGTATAAATCTCATTTTTTGTCTTTGCTGTCAGAGGTTTTAGCAACCTTATTAATTTAACTTATATTTTATAATAAATGATCTTTTGTAGAAAGTGACTTTTCATAATTTGTAAATTGTCCCAATTTAAAAGAATAAAAAATTCTTTTAACACCAGCCGTGGTGGCTCATGCCTATAATCCTAGCACTTTGGGAGGCCAAGGTGGGTGGATCACTTGAGGTCAGGAGTTCAAGACCAGCCTAGCCAACATGGCGAAACCCTGTGTCTACTAAAAATACAAAAAAATTGGGCAGGCATGGTGGTGTGTGCCCATAATCCCAGCTACTAGGGAGGCTGAGGCAAGAGAATCGCTTGAACCTGGGAGACGGAGGTTGCAGTGAGTCGAGATTGTGCCACTGCACCCTAGCCTGGGGAACAGAACAAGATTGTGTTTCAAAAAAAAAAAATTCTTTTAGCGTAATAGGATGTTTTTTAGAAAATTGCTTTTCATGATTTATAAAGTGTCCCATAAAATGTCACTGAAAAAGTTGATGGAATAAAACATTATTGTAATATAACATAATAGGATTTTAGCTTTGAGGAAAAGTAATATGGTTTGAGGGGGTGAGGGAAATCCATGTTTCATTTAGTAAGGTTTATTTTGATTCCTAATCAGAGGGAAGTATAAAATTTTATATATATATATATATACATATATATATATATATATTTTTTTTTTTTTTTGGTTACAAATTTAGGCTATCTTCCGGGGATTTCCAGAGTATTCAGCTAACATTATAAATTGTCTCCTGGGTTCAAGCTGTTCTTGAGCCTCAGCCTGTTGAGTAGCTGGGACTAAATGTGCCCATGTCTGTTGAATTTAAAGAGAGATCAGTGTACTCAACCTTGGCTACACATTAGAATCACAAGGGGATCTTGTGAAAAAATAGAAATGCCCCAGGATGACCCCAGACTAACTATTTCAGGATTTCTAAGAGATTGAGATAATCACTGTAATAGAGGGAGGATTGGACGATGGTCTCATTAAAGATGGAACCTCGGCTAGGTGAGGTGGCTCATGCCTGTAATCCTATTACTCTGGGAGGCTGAGACAGGTGGATCACCTGAGGTCAGGAGTTCAAGACCGGCCTGGTCAACATGGTGAAACTCTGTCTCTAGTAAAAATACAAAAAATTAGCTGGGTGTGGTGGTGGGCACCTGTAATTCCAGCTACTCCAGAGGCTGAGACAGAAGAATCACTTCAATCCAGGAGGCGGAGGTTGCAGTGAGCCAAGATCATGCCATTACACTCCAGCCTGAGCAACAGAGTGAAACTCTGTCTGAGAAAATAAGTAGATAAAGATGGAACCTGAAAGTTGCCATGGCCAAGGGTCTCTAGTCCATAGCTCAATAAGTCTAGAACCACTAACTTTCTCTGAGTACTGAGGGTTGGCTTTTGTTTTAAGGTTTCACTTATTCATAGTAAACATCTTTTGCAGATGGAAGGAAAAAATGAATGCCAGTTTCTTAACGTAGAGTGGGTGATAGACTTTTCTAGTGATCAGCATACTCAGGATTGATATCTAGGTCACTCTTCGAAAGGTTAGAAGCAGTTGGGAGCCTGAATTAGTGATTCCGTTGAACAGAGAGTAGAACATTGGGATCTGAATGGCTTTAAGGGTTGTGGTCATTTTGGATCAAAAGCCTGGGGAATTTAGTCTTTGATTTCACAGAGTATATCTGCACCTTTCCAGTATATTTTCATCATCTAGAAATGATGTCTCTCACTGAGGAAAAGTGCTGGATAAACCTAGAAAAATTATTGTGCTGCTTTTCTGGAGTCCATGCAGCTTACCAGGTATTTCTGTCAGAACATTCTTCTTTTGGATGAGTTATAATATACTGAGTTAGCTTAGATAATTTATAACTTTAGACCAGAGATGTCTAATCTTTTGGCTTCTCTGAGCCACATTGAAAGAAGAATTGTTTTGGTTCACACATAAAACACATTGACACTAATGATAGCTGATGAGCTAAAAAAAAAAAAAATCATTATGTTTTATGAAAGTTTATGAATTTGGGCCAGGTGCAATGGCTCATGCCTGTAATCCCAGCACTTTGGGAGGCCGAGGTGGGTGGATCGCTTGAGGTCGTGAGTTCCAGACCAGCCTGGGCAACATGGGGAAACCCCGACTCTACTAAAAATACAAGAAAATTAGCTGATCACGGTGGCACATGCCTGTAGTCCCAGCTGCTTGTGCAGCAGAGATGGAATTGCTTGAACCCCAGAGGCAGAGGCTGCAATGAGCCAAGATTGTGCCGTTGCATTCCAGCCTGTGTGAGAGTAAGACCCTGTGTCTTCACTGTATTAACTACTGCAATTCTGGCTTGTTGAGAGAATGAATACTCAGTTAATATTTGCTGAATGCGAGTGCATACTCCTTTTATTTTGTTCTGATGTTTGAAGTCCGCAGTTTACTCTTTTACCCCGTGGAGCATGAGAAACCCAAATGCTAAATTTAGTAGTCTTAAAAATAAGGACAAATTTAAGAAAGAGATCTTTTAATAAGCTTTGAGAAATACAGATGTTGCTTGGTGGTCAGGATGTGGTATGTGGTTCTCTTACTAGATTCTGCTAACCGACGTCTTTATATTACGGCAGTGTGGCATAGTGTAAAGGGCGCTGATTTATGTTTGAATTATTTCTCTGCCATTTATTAGTTGTGACTTTGGTCACATTAAACATTTCTTTTGGTTTGAATCTGATTCTCAGAATTATTATTATAATTCAAATATGTTACAACTCAGATATTTATAATAAACAATAAAATGTTCCTCCACGTGGCCCTAGCCTCATAACAAATGTTTCCTTGAGATTAAAGCTTTCCTTTCACAGTACATTCATAGGAGCAGCAATTAGATAATTTACTACAAGCTGTAAAGTTAAATGATAATCACTAGAACCAGTTATTATTAATATAGTTCATTCTCTCTCAACAGCCTCCTCGTACACATATAACACAGTGGGTAGTGGTATAGATGAGCATGTCTCAGATCAAAATCATATCAGAGTTGCTGACCACCATAGACCATAGACTGATGATCCATCTTGTATCTGGTTTAGAAATAAAAGCATGTTGTTTGAACAAGAACTTTAGGGTTTTGGCTGGGCGTGTTGGCTCATATCTGCAACCCCAGCACTTTGAGAGTCCTGGTATCTTTTTTTTGAGAGACAGTCTCACTCTGTTGCCTAGGCTGGAGTGCAGTGGCACGATCTTGGCTCACTGCAGCCTCCACCTCTCGGTTTAAGCAATTCTCCTTCCTTAGTCTTCTGAGTAGCTGGGATCACAGGTGTATGCCACCATGCCTGGCTAATATTTGTATTTTTAGTAAAGATGGGTTTCACCATGTTGGCAGGCTGGTCTTGAACTCCTGACCTCAGGTGATCTTCCTGCCTTGGCCTCCCAAAGTGCTGGGATTACAGGTGTAAGCCACCACGCTTGGCCCCTGGTATCATATTAAACATACTGTGATTAGCACATACAGAGCTGACTTTATTCTTTTTAATATCTGCAAAATATTTCAAATCTAGAGGTACTTTAATTTCTTTGTCCAGTCACCAATTGATGGCTGTTTAGTTGAATGCCTTTTTAGTTAATTTACCTTGCTCTTTAAATTTGATGATTCTAAATTGGCCCCTATTTATGAAGGTGTCTGAAAGTGATTACCGTTTCCTACTTTACTTTCATGTCAAATTAGAAATACTACCCTACCTTAGTGTTAAAGAACAGACATCATTATTTTACTCTAACCCTAGTTAGTTTTTGTTGTTGTTTTTGTTTTTTTTCCTCTTTTTTTTTTTTTTGGAGACAAGATCTGACTTTGTCACCTAGGCTGGAGTGCAGTGTGGTGCGATCATGGCTCACTGCAGCCTCAACCTCCTGGGTTCCAGAGATTCTTCCACCTCAGCCTCTGAAATAGCTGGGACTACAGGTGTGCACCATCACGTCTGGCTAATTTAAAAAAATTTTTTTGGTAGAGATGGGGTCTTACTTGTTGCCCCAGGCAAGTCTTGAACTGCTGGGCTCAAGCCATCCTCCTCTTGCTTTGGTCTCCCAGAGTGCTGGAATTACAAGTCTGAGCCACCACCTCACCCGCCCAGAGTGTGTGTACATTAAGTATGTAATTAATGTAGATCCTTTAGGGAGTCTATTATGAACTTCAAATCTTAAAATGATTGATAAATTGCAAATAGTTTATTTGATACTAGTAGAAATCAAATTAAGAGTTTGTGGCTGGGCACGGTGGTTCACGCCTGTAATCCCAGCGCTTGGGAGGCCGAGGTGGGCAGATCATGAGGTCAGGAGATCGAGACCATTCTGACCAACATGGTAAAACCCTGCCTCTACTAAAATACAAAAAATTAGCCGGACGTGGGGGTACGCGCCTGTAGTCCCAGCTACTCGGGAGGCTGAGGCAGGGGAGTCGCTTGAACCCAGGAGGTGGAGGTTGCAGTGAGCCAAGATTGTGCTACTACTCTCCAGCCTGGTGATAGAGCGAGACTCCGTCTCAAAAAAAAAGAAAAAGAGTTTGTGATTTCACAATATTTGTTTCTTTTGGTTACAGATTATTGAAACTATGCCAATGACTGAGAAAGTTGAAGAATTGTTGCGTGTCATAGGTCCATTTTATGAAATTGTCGAGGACAAGAAGAGTAGCAGGAGTTCTGATGTAACTTCAGGTTGGACTATTTTACCTGTTTTTAAACTCATCAGCTCATATATTATGCACATATTAATATTTGTATGTCTGATTTTTTTTCTTACTTTCACATGCTAGTCCGACTGGAGAAAATCTCTAAATGTTTAGAAGGTAGGAATAATGAAATCATGCAAAAGTTTTGTTTAAAATTTACATGTCAAAAGAATTCTGCACAAACTTATAGAACTTATAATCTTGTCATCCAGGAGTTTTCATTCCTAGCAAACACATTGTGTGAAGTTCCAAAACATTATAAACCCTTAGAATTTTATTTTTTATTTTTTATTTTTTTTTTAATTGCATTTTAGGTTTTGGGGTACATGTGAAGAACATGCAAGATTGTTGCATAGGTACACATGTGGCAGTGTGATTTGCTGCCTTCCTCCCCATCACCTGTATCTGGCATTTCTCCCCATGCTAACTCTCCCCAACTCCCCAACCCCCGCTGTCCCTCCCCTGTTTCCCCCCAACAGACCCTAGTGTGTAGTGCTCCCTTCCCTGTGTCCATGTGTTCTTATTGTTCAACACCCGCCTATGAGTGAGAACCTGCGGTGTATAAACCCTTAGAATTTTAACCCTTAAGTGGAAAGTTATTAAAATACACCAGGTAGTTTACTTAGTATATTCAAAATTACAGCAGAATCTATGGTTTTAGTTTGATAGATCATGTTTTCTATTTTGCTTTGAGAATTACATTAATAATACTTTTAATTCAATGATTTACCTGCTAATTTTAAAATGAGTATGTTGGCCGGGTATGGTGGCTCATGCCTGTAATCCCAGCACTTTGGGAAGTCAAGGCAGGTGGATCACCTGGGGTCAGGAGTTTGAGACAAGACTTGCCAACATGGTGAAACCTCATCTCTACAAAAAATACAAAAATTAGCCAGGTGTGGTGGTGAACGCCTGTGATCCCAGCTACTTGGGAGGCTGAGGCACAAGAATCATTTGAACCCAGGAGGCAGAGGCTGCAGTGAGATGAGATCACTCTGCTGTACTCTGGCCTGGGCGACAGAGTGAGATGCTGTCTCAAAAAAAAAAAAAAAGGGCAGGTACGGTGGCCAACAACGCCTGTAATCCCAGCACTTTGGGAGGCCATAGTGGGTGGATCACGAGGTCAACAGATCGAGACCATCCTAGCCAATGTGGTGAAACTCTGTCTCTACTAAAAATAAAAAAATTAGCTGGGTGTATGATTGCATGCCTGTAGTCCCAGCTAGTTGGTAGGCTGAAACAGAAGAATTGCTTGAACCCAGGAGATGAAGATTGCAGTGAGCCAAGATTGAGCCACTGTACTCCAGCCTGGTGACAGAGAGAGACTCCATTTCGAAAAAAGAAATTAAAATTGATATGTTTGTAATATGGTTTAACTGTAGCATAGCAAGCTAATGCAAGACAGTTAATTCACTTAGCTTGTTTTTAAATTTTATTTTGGTTCAAGCATCTTTGCATGGATTACAGTTTCATTCTTTTTTTTTTTTTTTTTTTTTTAGAATTTGTCTTCATATACACAAAGTATTGAAAAGTTATGTTTTGCATACTTGCAGGAGAATAAAATGCAAAATGTGTTGGTATTAACTAAACCAATTTGCTCTTGAAATTTTTTTAGAAAGCAGAGTGAAATGAGACCACAAGAGTCAATTTAAGTGAAAATTGTATGTATATTCTTTAAATAAAAATTGCCTGGCTTCCCTTTTTTTTCCTCTTGGGATCCCTATTTATAAGACATCTTTTAATAATTGACAGTAATGGCAGTATTTCAGAATAGTAATCTTCCCTGCGCTGAAATCAGGCCTTGTACCTGTCATGGTAATAAACCATGTGCAAGTGGTACTGAGTGTTTACTGGGCATAACTCTGTTAACATCATTCTACATCTGGTTTGCTTAGAGAAGTCAAATATTAACAAGACATGCTTATTCAATTTAGAGAAAAAAATAAATGCTTTCTTCTTTTTTTTTTTTTTTTTTTTTGAGACGGAGTCTTCTTCTGTCACTCAGGAGGCTGGAGTGCAGTGGTCTCATCTCGGCTCACTGCAAACTCCAGCTCCTGGGTTCAAGCGATTCTCCTGACTTAGGCTCCTGAGTAGCTTGGATTACAAGTGTGTGCCACTGTGCCCAGCTAATTTTTGTATTTTTAGTAGAGCCGGTTTTGCCATGTTGGCCAGGCTGATCTTGAACTCGTGACCTCAGGTGATCTCCCGATTCGGCTTCCCAAAGTACTGGGATTACAGACATGAGCCACTGTGCCTAGCCAGAAAAAAAAAAATTAAATGTTTTCTGTATGTCAGGCATGTTAGGATGAAGACGGAAGTAAATCTGGATCTGCTTCAGTGGTATCCAGCCACTGGCCAGAGGCAGATATTTAAACAGCTAATTATAAAATAAAGAAGAGTAAATAATAGTAATAAAGGTACAGGCTCACAGTTACCTAGCTATCACTTAAAAATTTAAAAATCTTTGAAGACCAGAAGTTTTTTTGGTAAACTCATTTGGCAGCAAAACCTGTCTGATATGAAGTAAAAATCTAGGGAGCAAAATCCGACCTGAAATAAAATAAGGATATTTTGAGTCTCTATCCTATGTAGTGTAACTATTTATATGTTTTGCTGCAAAAATCATATTTTCTCTTTTTAGTGAGAGCTGTCTTAGACTTTATTGGATGTGTTACATAATATACCAAATGGCATATGTACCATATAACCTTGCAAAATTAGAAAAACTTGAGATTTCAAAACATATCTGGATCCAAGGGTTGTAAGTAAGGGATTGTAGATTTGCACCATAATTTTTTTCACCTGAACCATGTTGATGGATATTTAGGTTATTTACTCTTTTGATCTTCAAAAAATGATGATGCTGAGAATAACCATGTATTTGTCCTTTCATATATATGAAAGCATATCTGTAAGAAATATTAGAAATGGAATTAGAAATGTTTGATGGGTATTTGTAATTTTAAAAGATATTGCCAAATTGCAAGACAGTTTGCACTCTTGTCTTTTTTTTTCCTAAACAAGCATTTTCTTAAAAGTAGCCATTTAGGTTCAATAGAACAGATGTATCAGTTTTACATGGCCATTTTCAGAATATACATATACGGTAAGTTTTGAAATCAGGAATGGTGAGTCCTCCAATTTTGTTTTTTTTCAAGATGGTTTTGGCTAATCTTGATCCCTCAAATTTTCATATGAATTTTAGAATCTGCAAGTCAATTTTTTGCAAAAATGCCAGCTTGGATTTTGATAGAGATTGCAGTGAACTTGCAGGGAGTATTGTCATCTCAACAATATTATCTTTCAATACCTGTTCTCAAAACAGCATCTTGTAACCAGCAGCATTGGCAACAAATGTGTCCTTGTAGAAATTCAGAATCTTACATCACCCTAGACTTAGTAATTCAGAATCTGCCTCTTAAATAGATCTCAGGAGATTCGTATGCACATTAAAGTTGAGAAGCTCTGATGTACTTACCCTCAGGCTATAGCTTTGGCCACTTGGACAATTTGCTTTTGTAAGTGATTGATAACATTAAAGGATACTTTAAGAAAAAACTCAAATATCATAAAGACATGATATGAGTTGTGCACCTGAAGTCCTAAAGGTAATACAGGAATACAATTTTTTAAATGGACTCCAACTGTAATATTGATGGGATTGTTGGTAGAACCAAAAGTGTATTTTTTGCTTTCAGCGGGCTAGTATATAGGAAGTATCTCGTCATCTGCCATGTATGAAGATCCATTGATCTCTAACTTTATTTTGATTGATGTTAACTTAATTTATCCTCTGCCTGATTCAGAAAGGATTTAAGATAGCTTGATTGTAAGATGATAATTGAAGGAATTTGTCTATGTAATAATATGTGCATGTTTATAGTCAAATAAAATAATACTATTATATATATCACTAACATTTGAATTCAAAATTATTTTATTATTTGTAAATTTTGTTAGTATTATTTAGAAATTATGGCATTATTGTATATTACCACATTGTGACTAAGTGGTCATTTCATGTTTTAGATCTTGGTAATGTTCTCACTTCTACTCCAAATGCCAAAACTGTTAATGGTAAAGCTGAAAGCAGTGACAGTGGAGCTGAATCTGAGGAAGAAGAGGCCCACGAAGAAGTGAAAGGGGCAGAACAAAGTGATAATGGTAATGTTGGATAATCAGGTAGTAATTTTACAATAAATAAATTAAGAGGGTATGAAGACATTTGGGCTGATTTGGTATTGTCTAAGATTAGAGCAGATGGTGGGATGTAGGCTGTTGACCTTATAATCGGGTTTGCTGTGGACCAAAAGGCTCTACCACACAGTATAGGACAGCCAACCTTATGCAGAAATGGGATAGGTGTTAATTGAAGGTTGACAAGAAGAGGCCACTCCTCCAAATGGATGGCCTGATCAGCTGCATTAGACATGTACTATTTTAAGGTGTTGTTTCTAACGTGAATATGCATAAGTTACTAAGGACAGGAGAGAAGTTAGACTCTCAATATCTTATCAAAAATAGAGTGGAATCTAGAGAATAGGATACAGGCACACGTTTTTGTTTTTGTTTTTTTGGCTTTTGGTTTTTTTTTGAGATGGAGTCTCGCTCTGTCACCCAGGCTGGAGTGCAGTGGTGCGATCTTGGCTCACTGCAACCTCTGCCACCTGTGTTCAAGGCATCTTCCTGCCTCAGCCTCCCGAGTACAGGCATGTACCACCATGCCCCATTAATTTTTATATTTTTAGTAGAGACGAGATTTCACTGTGTTGGCCAGGCTGGTCTCAAACTCCTGACCTCAAGTGATCTGCCCACCTTGGCCTCCCAAAGTGCTGGGATTACACGCATGCGCCATCGCACCGGTTTACAGGCATAAGTTTTCATGAAGAAGGAACATTGGAATTATGGGTTAGAGCATTGGGGGCCTTGTTAGAATACCAGTGATACATGGGAAGACTGTTTTCAAAAGGGGAGACAGAAACACACTAAAACAAACTGCATAACTTAGTTTTACCTTCCCTTTCCAGTAAGATATGACAAATAACACCTTCTTTAAGGATCTTTTTTATCAACTATGTGGACCCCTTTGCACTGCTAGGTCTCATAGAGCAATTTGCTTATGCCTAAGAGTAAAAAGATTTTGAGAGATTACTTTTTAAAGGAATTCTAGAAGATTCACAGGGAACTGAAACAGTTTTGAAGCCAAAATAGTTTGGGTGCGCTCTTAGCATATAGTAAACCCCATTTCAAGGAGCATGCCTTCTCTTTGATCCAAGTAGGAAACCCTTCAAAGGGGTTGTGGTAGGTTAGGGAAATGACAACTGGTTATGAAAACATGGTATGCAGCAGGTGACCTACTGTGAACCTATGACTTTCTCCATTTCCTCATAAAAGATAAGAAAATGATGAAGAAGTCAGCAGACCATAAGAATTTGGAAATCATTGTCACTAATGGCTATGATAAAGATGGCTTTGTTCAGGATATGCAGAATGACATTCATGCCAGTTCTTCCCTGAATGACAGAAACACTGAAGAAGTAAAGCCTATTGATGAAAACTTGGGGCAAACTGGAAAAACTGATGTTTGCATTCACCAAGGTATTGTCCCCAAATAATTCTGTGTCCAGCCTCTTTCCTATGAATAGTCTTTTAATAATTACAGGATCTTTAGGATCAGTTTTGAATTTAAAAATCTCTTATTCAGTCATATCTTAGGGCTTGTTAATATTATAAGGGTTTATGGTTTTGAAAGAGAGTGAATTAGGGCCAGGGTTATATATGTATTTCTTTCTGTTGCCCAGGCTGGAGTGCAGTGACATAGTCAAGGCTCACTGCAGCTTTGAACTCCTGGGCAATTCTACCGCAGCCTCCTGAGTAGCTGGGGTTACAGGCATGTACCACCACGCCTAGCTAATGTTTAAATTTTTTGTGGAGACAGGGTTTTGCCAGGTTGCCCAGGCTGGTCTGGAAACCCTGGGTTCAAGTGATCTGCCCTCCTCAGCCTCCCAAAGTGCTAGTATTACAGGCTTGAGCCTCTGTGCTGGCCTATTTTTCAATTTTTAGGGATACCTAATAGTCCGTATGAGAAACTCATTTCTTTTTCTTTTTTTTTTTTTTTTAGATAGAGTCTTGCTTCTTTGCCCAGGCTGGAGTGCAATGGCGCCATCGCAGTTTACTGCAACCTTCACCTCCTGGGTTCAAGCAGTTCTCCTGCCTCAGCCTCCCCAGTAGCTGGGATTATAGGCATTTGCCACCACGCCCAGCTAATTTTTGTATTTTTAGTAGAGATGGGCTTTCACCATGTTGGCCAGGCTGGTCTCGAACTCCTGACCTCAAGTGATCCACCCGCCTTGGTCTTCCAAAGTGCTGGGATAACAGGCGTGAGCTGCCTCGGCTGGCCGAGAAGCATCATTTCTTAATATAAGAACCAAACTTGCATAGTTGCATCTTACATTTAGACATCCTGTTTGGTAGGTAATTTTTTCTTATGGGGTTATTAGGTTTTATAAGGTTTCATCTAGACTGTCTTTATGGAATTCAGTGACAAAATATTTTGGTCTTTTCAAATAAAAATTATCAACTAAATTTAAAGTTTTGGTAAATTTTAAAAAGTGTGGCTTGATAAATCAAATTTGTCTCTCAGTATAAAAATAAGGCTGAAAAATACTAGCATGATGACTTATGTTGGAGTATTAAAAAAAAGAAAAAAGGGCTGAAAAAATATATAAGGCTGATGAATTTTGAAAATGGAATATGAAAACGGACTAAAAAGAAAAAAAGAAAAAAAAAAAGAAAATGGAATAAACGCTAGGCACTGTGGTTAACGCCTATAATCCCAGTACTTTGGGAGGCTGAGGTGGATGGATCACCTGAGGTCAGGAGCTGGAGACCACCCTGGACAACATGGTGAAACTCCGTCTCTTAAAAATACAAAAATTGGCTGGGCATGGTGGCTCATGCTTGTAATCCCAGCACTTTGGAAGCCTGGGTGGGTGGGTCAGGAGTTCAAGAGCAGCCAGACCAACATGGCGAAACCCTGTCTCAATTTAAAATACAAAAAATTAGCCAGGTGTGACGGCATGCACCTGTAATCCCTGCTACTTGGGAGGCTGAGGCAGGAGAATCACTTGAACCCTGGAGGTGGATGTTGCAGTGAGCCAGTATCACACCACTGCGCTCCAGCCTGGGTGACAGAATGAGACTCCATAAAAAAAAAAAAAAAAATTAGCTGGGCATGGTAGCAGGCACCTGTAATCCCAGCTACTTGGGAGGCTGGGGCAGGAGAATCGCTTGAACCCAAGAGGCAGAAGTTGCAGTGAGCCAAGATCTGCGCTCCAACCTAGGCAACGGAGTGAGACTCCATCTCAAAAAAAGAAAAAAAAGGAATAAATCTGTTTTTCTTTTATTAGAGTATAATTATACTATTGCACTTTTGTTCATATTTAGATCTAAATGATGATCATGTTGAAGATATTACAGGAATTCAGCATTTGACAAGTGATTCAGACAGTGAAGTTTACTGTGATTCTATGGAACAATTTGGACAAGAAGAGGTAAAAACGACATTTTCTGATTGGTAAATTTTCAAAGCGGTATGTTAGAATTCAATGTGTAACGTCCGTTAGTAGCAAATATACATGCTATTTTTCATTTTGAAAATATGCCCCTAAAATGTTTAAACATTTGTATTTTAAACTATTTTTTCTTAATTCAAAAATGTGTGAAATTCTGGAAAAGTCAAAGAAAAAAATTAATAACTATTCCATTATGACTAATAATATATATATATATTTATAAATATTCTATGAGATGTGGGATGGAGATGCAGAGGAAACACTTTTTATGCTAGTCCCTATGTTTGAAACATTTATTAATGTTCAGGAAAATTGAATGATTTTCTTTGTTGTTGTTTTGTTTTTTAGAGATGGGGTCTCGCTCTGTCGCCCAGGCTGGAGTGCAGTCGTGCAACCTCAGGTCACTGCAACCTCCGCCTCCTAGTTTCAAGCAATTCTCCTGACTCAACCTCCCAAGTAGCTGGGATTACAGGCGTATTCCACCATGCCTGGCTAATTTTTATATTTTCAGTAGAGACAGAGTTTCACCATTTTGGCCAGGTTGGTCTCAAACTCCTGGCCTCAAGTGATCTGCCTGCCTCAGCCTCTCAAAGTGCTGGGATTACAGACATGAGCCACCACCCCCAGCTCAAATATGGGTTCTTGATATGTTGCCTAGCGTAGTCTCAAACTCTTGGCCTCAATCAGTGCAACCACCTCTGCCTCCCAAAATGCTGGGATTACAGGTGCGAGTCACCAAGCCTGGCCTGAATAATTTTTAAATAAATAAGTCTGTTCTTCACGTTGACTATAATTCATTGGATTGATATTTTTGGTGGAAATAATTTTTAAATTTCAGTTGATTAAGATGCAGTATTGGAAGAGAAAACTTGAAAAAAAAATTATAAAAGTCCATGAATTCTTTTTCTCAACTTTTTCTGATAATGATGAGGGTGGTTTATTTTTAATTTTTATGGGCACATAGTAGGTGTATATATTTATGGGGTAGACGGGGTGCATTGGCTCATACCTCTAATCCCAAGCAAGAATATCGCTTGAAGCCAGGAGTTTGAGACCAGCCTGGGCAAGATGGCGAGACCCCATCTACACTTTATTTTTGTAAAATATAATAAATATATATTTATGGGGTCCATGAGATATTTTGATGCAGGCATATGATGTGTAATAATCATATCAGGGTAAATGGGGCGTTCATTACTTCAGGCGCTCATCATTTCTTTATGTTACAATCATTCCAGTTGTACTCCCTCAGTTATTCTAAAATGTGCAACAAAAATATTGCCAACTATGTCCACTCTGCTGTGCTGTCAGATACTAGATCTTATTCACTGTATCTCTATCTCCATGAGTTTGTTTTAATTTTCAGCTGTCACAAATAAGTGAGAACATTTGAAGTTTTTCTTTCTGTGCCTGGCTTATTTCACTAAACATAATATCTTCCAATTCAATCCATATTGCAAATGACAGGATCTCATTCTTTTTATTTATTTATTTATTTTATTTTTGATTTATTTTTATTATTATTTTTTATGGTAGGGTAGTACTCCATCGTGTATATGTATCGCATTTTCTTTATTCGTTTGTCTGTTGATGGACCGTTAGGTTGCTTCCAAATCTTGGCTATTGCGAACAGTGCTGCAGTAAACATGGGATTGCTGATATCTCTTCAATATATTGATTTCTTTTCTTTTGGGTACACAGCCAGTAGTGGAATTGCTGGTCATATGGTAACTCTGTTTTTAGTATTGTTTGTTTTTTGAGGAACTTCCGTATTCTGCATAGTGGCTGTACTAATTTACATTCTCACCAGCAATGCACAAGGGCTCCCTTTTCTCCACATCCTCACCAGCGTTTGTTATTGCATGCCTTTTGGATGAAAGCCATTTTAACTTGGGTGAAATAATATCTGATTGTTTTGATTTGATTTGCAATCATAGTTTTGATTTGCATTTCTCTGACGATCAGTGATGTTGAGCACCTTTTCATGTAATGGTTTGCCATTTGTAGGTCTTTTGAGAAATGTCTGTTCAGATCTTTTGCCCATTTTTAATCAGATTATTAGATTCTTTTTTCCTATTGTTTACGCTCCTTATGTATTCTAGTTATTAATCTGACGAGGGTGGTTTTTACAGCTATATTTCTGTCTGGCCTTTTTATATCCTCTCCCCATTCTATCTCCTACCTTGTTCTAATATAGTTTAGTGTGTCTTATAGACAATCATTTATCTTTTGCCTCCCTGAACTGATTTTAACTTTTCTCTTTGTGTTTTTCTCCTTTTCTCATTTCATAATGCAATTAAATCTATCTCTTAGTTTTCTCAAATTTTAAAAACACGTGAATAAAATATCTTTTACCTAAGGTCAAACACAAATGAGTAGCGTAGGCCAGTCATGGTGGCCCACTCCTCTCATCCCAACACTGTGGGAGGAGGTCGAGGCAGCTGGATCGCTTGAGCTCACGAGTTTGAGATCTGCATGGGCAACATGGCAAAACCCTGTCTCTAGAAAAAAATACAAGAATTAGCCAGGCATGGTAGCTACTTGGGGAGGCTGAGGTGGGAGGAAGGCTTGAGCCTGGGAGACAGAGGTTGTAGTGGCCAGATGATGCCACTGTGCTCCAGCCAGGCCTGTAAAGCCAGAACTTGTCTCAAAAAAAAAAAAAAAAAAAAAAAAAGGCAGCATAGATTGGAAGAATAAGGATAAGGAGGCCAAACTAAGAATGAGAGAAATTAGTGAAAAATGAAAAGGATGAAAAAACCCAGATGCCCTTTTATTTTTTCTTTTTAAAGAAGAGATGTTTGGGAAATGTCGATGAAATGGACCAGATAGAGATTAATCTCAGTAAATATCTGGCTGCTAACTTATAGGTTTGTTCCTGTTTTCTCTCTCAATCAGTTAATGGATTAAAGATCAAGGAACTGTCTGATCTGGCTTCTGGAGTACAGTGGCACAATCTGGGCTCACTGCAACTTCCACCTCCTGGGTTCAATTGATTCTCATGCCTCAGCCTTCCCGGTAGCTGAGATTACAGGTGTGCACCACCCCACCTGGCTAATTTTTGTATTTTTAGTAAAAACAAGGTCTCACCACGTTGGCCAGGCTGGTCTCATACTCCTGGCCTCAAGTGATCTGCCCGCCTCAGCCTCCCAAAGTGCTGGGATTACAGGTGTGCCACCTCGCCTGCTCCTTGCTGGCCTCTGTTAACACCACTCTCCTATGTGGTCTTTGCTCACCACCCACCCTGGCCTTCTCTCTCTAATGTGTCCAGTCCCTTCCCACACCCACCCTTGCTTGTACATCCTCCCTCTTCACTGAGGACTCTTACATACCCTTTATACCCTAACTAAGATGTTCCTTCCTGAAGGAAAGTAAGATACAGCCCCACCTCATCACCACCCTCACCAAATTTAGGTTAATTATAGGTTGTCATCCATCAATGTCTTAGGCGAGTTCTTTTAAAAACAAACACATTTAGGCTCTGCCTATGCAGTAACCATTCTTTATTCTTTATTCCTTTACTTTCTTTTTCTTTTTCATTTTCTTTTTTGTTTTTTTGAGATGAGTTTCACTCTTGTTGCCCAGGCTGGAGTACAATGGCATGATCTCAGCTCACCGCAACCTCTACCTACTGGGTTCAAGAGATTCTCCAGCCTCAGCCTCCCGAGTAGCTGGGATTACAGGCATGTACCACCATGCCCGGCTAATATTTGGCTTTTTAGTAGAGACAGGGTTTCTCCATGTTGGTCAGGCTGGTCTCAAACTCCCAGCCTCAGGTGATCTGCCCGCCTCAGCCTCCCAAAGTGCTGGGATTACAGGCATGAGCCACCATGCCCAGCCAGAATTGAAGACATTTTTTAGAAAAAGAATATTTCCCATAATAACATGAAAGAAGATTTTAGAAAAATGGTATTTCTCCTATTGCTGTAAAAACTTTGTTGTGTATAATTAATGTTTATAGCTTTTAACTCAATGTTGTTTTAAATTTGTAGTCTTTAGACAGCTTTACATCCAACAATGGACCATTTCAATATTACTTGGGTGGTCATTCCAGTCAACCCATGGAAAATTCTGGATTTTGTGAAAATGTTCAAGTAATTCCTGGAAATGGCAACATTGGGAATATGCAGGTGGTTGCAGTTGAAGGAAAAGGTGAAGTCAAGCATGGAGGAGAAGATGGTAGGAATAACAGTGGAGCGCCACACCGGGAGAAGCGAAGCGGCGAAAATGACGAATTCTCTAATGTCAGAAGAGGAAGAGGTGTGATTACCTTTTTTTCTTCCCTCACTATCTTTATTTATTTACTTATTTATTTTTGAGATGGAGTCTAGTGCTCTGTCGCCCAGGCTGGAGTGCAGTGTGCGATTACAGGCACATGCCACTACGCCTGGCTAATTTTTGTATTTTTAGTAGAGATGGGGTTTCGCCATGTTTGCCAGGCTGGTCTTGAACTTCTCACCTCGGGTGATCCGCCTGCCTCAGCCTCCCAAAGTGCTGGGATTACAGGCATGAGCCACTGCTCCTGGCCACACTTTAGAGATTTAGATCTCAAAGAAATAACAGAGGAAAATGAATAAAACAGTTTCTACTTGCATAAGAATTATTTAAAACAAACATTTTTGTCTCTTAAAATAGGACATAGGATGCAACACTTGAGTGAAGGAGCCAAGGGTCGGCAGGTGGGAAGTGGAGGTGATGGGGAGCGCTGGGGCTCCAACAGAGGGTCCCAAGGCAGCCTCAATGAGCAGATCGCCCTCGTGCTGATGAGATTGCAGGAGGACATGCAGAACGTCCTTCAGAGACTGCAGAAACTGGAAACACTGACTGCTTCACAGGTAAACTTTCAAATGTGTCATACCTTCTCCTACTTACTGATTCTGGAAAGCAATGTGGAATCTGTGTTGAACATATTTACATAAATTAATGTATTTTAGTAAAAATAAAAAGAATTTAGTTTTGAAAATATTGTTTAAGAAAAGACTGACCCAGAAACTAATTACTGCTTAAAATAATAGAGAAATAGCTGGGCATGGTGGCTCCTGCCCATAATCACAGCACTTTGGGAGGCTGAGGCTGGCAGATCACCTGAGGTCAGGAGTTCAAGACCAGCCTGGCCAACATGGCGAAACCCCATCTCTACTAAAAATACAAAAATTAGCCAGGCATGATGGTGGGTGCCTGTAATCCCAGCTTCTCGGGAGGCTGAGGTGGAAAACTCGCTTGAACCCGGGAGGTAGAGGTTGTAGTGAGCTGAGATTGTGCCATTGCACTCCAGCCTGGGCGACAGAGTGAGACTCCATCTCAAAAAAAAAAAAAAAAAAAAGAAGAAGAAAAAAGAAAAATGGCTAGGCGAGGTACCTCATGCCTGTAATTCCAACACTTTGGAAGGCTGAGGTAGGTGGATCACCTGAGGTCAGGAGTTTAAGACCAGACTGGCCAACATGGTGAAATTCTGTCTCTACTAAAAATAAAAAAAAATTAGCCAGGTGAGGTGTTGCATGCCTGTACTCCCAGCTACGTGGGAGGCTGAGGCAGGAGAATCGCTTGGACCTGGGAAGCAGAGGTTGCAGTGAGCTGAGATAGTGCCACTGCACTCCAGCATGGGTGACAGTGAGATTTTGTCTCTAAATGAATGAATGAATGAAAAAGGTTCATAGGAAGAGACACTTCAGTTTGATTTATAGTTTTGACTGTGGCCTGTAATAATCCCTGGACTCACCTGCCTCTCCTTGAGTAACATTTGTTGAAGAGAATAAAGAGGTAATTAGCCTTGACTGTCTGACCTAGCTGTAAACATTATACAACATTGAAGCATCATGCTGAAATAGATGTTAAGAAGTATTTGTAGGGATTAATCAAAGAAGATATGCTTCCATTGCAAGATAAATACATTAAATGTAGACTCATGTAAAGAAACTGATACTGCAGGCTTCCCTAAACAACCACTGGAAATATCTTTCTCTTTACCTAATCAGTAAGTTACTTAAGTTATTACGTTTTTAAAAATTATATGTATCCCTAGGATTCTCAGTTACATATTATTATTAATCAGACTGCAAATTCCTAGACTTCCAGGAGTCTACAAACACCCTAAAATACTACACACATTTGTCTTTGATTTTGCATTTTTGATGGGAGAGGATTTGTTGTCTTCATGAGATTCTCAAGAGGGTCTGTAAGGAAAAAGAGTTTAAAATAGTGCCTTGTGACCGGGCACAGTGACTCACACCTGTAATTTCAGCACTTTGTGAGGCTGAGGCGAGTGGATCACTTGAGGCCAGGAGTTCGAGACCAGCCTGGCCAACATGATGAAACCCCGTCTCTATTAAAAGTACAAAAATTAGCCGGGTGTGGTGGTGCGTGACTGTAATCCCAGCTACCTGGGAGACTGAGGCATGAGAATCACCTGAACCAAGTTGGCAAAAGTTTCAGTGAGCCTAGATCATGCCACTGTACTTGGCTCACTGCAACTTCCACCTTCTGGGACCATGTCATCCTCCCACCTCAACTTCCCAAGTAGCTGGAACCACAGGTGCATACCACCACGTCTAGCTAATTTTTGTATTTTTTGTAGAGACAGAGTTTGCCATGTTGCCCAGGCTGGTCTCAAACTCCTGAGCTCAAATGATCAGCCCACCTCAGGCTCCCAAAGTGCTTGGGATTACAGGCATGAACCACTGTGCCTGGAATGTTTTAAGTTATTATTATTATTTTTTTTAACCTAAGAATATTATACATATATTCAATATCTTTAGTGGTATTGAAATTCTGCTGAAATTCTTTTGATATATTTTCTTGACATTTACTTTTTCACTGTTATATAAAACTTTAGGCTAGGCCCATGGCTCACACCTGTAATCTCAGCACATTTGGAGGTCAAGGCAAGAGGATACCCTGTGGCTAGGAGTTCAAGACCAGCCTGGGCAACATAGCAAGACCTTATGTCTACAAAAAAGTAAAATTAAAATAGCCAGGCTTGGTGGTCGGCCCACCTACTCAGAAGGCTGAGGCAGGATGACCGCTTGAGCCCAGGAGTTGAAGGCTGCAGTGAGCCATGATCTCTCTAGCCTGGGGAACAGAGTAAGACCTCATCTCTACAAAAATACAATACAATAATAAAATAAAGTTGAAAAGATTTTGATTTAGGACTTTTTTACTTAAAATTTGCATAATTCACTTGGATGATTCATAGAAGAAATAAATTTGGCCAGGCACAGTGACTCATGCCTGTACTGTCAACATTTTGGGATGGATCACCTGAGGTCAAGAGTTTGAGGCCAACCTGGCCAACATGGTAAAACCCCACCTCTACCACCAAAAATACAAAAATTAGCTGGGTGTGGTGGCACATGCCTGTAATCCCAGCTGCTCGTGAGGCAGAGATTGCAGTGAACTGAAATCGTGTCTCAAAAAGAAAAGTCGCTTGGATAACATTGAAAGGTCAAATTGTGCAAATAAAAAGAAAAAGATAAGAAAAGTTGCTCCTCGTGGTGGCTCACACCTGTAATCCCAGCACTTTGGGAGGCTGAGGCAGGCAGATTACCTGAGGTTAGGAGTTTGAAACCAGCCTGACTAACATGATGAAACCCTGTCTCTGCTAAATACAAAAACAAATTAGCCGAGTGTGGTGGTGCATGCCTGTAATCCCAGCAAGTTGGGAGGCTGAGTCAGGAGAATTGCTAGAACCTGGGACGCAGAGGTTGCAGTGAGCCGAGATCGCACCATTGTACTCCAGCCTAGGCAACAAGAGTGAAACTCCATCTCAAAGAAAAAAAAAAAGAAAAAGAAAAGTCAAGTAGGTAATGAAATAAGACTGTAAAGCACGTAAGAGTTTAGATGGATTTGAGGTTTTATTTTGATAATTTTCTATAATTTGAGCTAAAAATACAAAGCATCAAAGTATTGTTTGGCTTGCAGTTTTAGGAAACTTATGCTTTGGTAAGTATTAGTTTCAGGATAATCAAAGTAGAGTTCGCAGAGGAATGCTGAATAAACTAAGAGTTCTACATTCCAACTGTTCTATACATAAAGAAAACAACAACCCCCCAAACCTCAAAATTTCTGCCTTTTTAAAAAAGATAGGAAATAGAAAAATTACTGTGTTTTTTATTTTTTCAAGGCTAAGTCACTTTCATTTGCATTGACAGGCAAAATCATCAATATCAACATTGCAGACTACTAGTCAGCCCACGTCACAGGTAAGACAGTTTTTAAAAAATTTAAATGCCAGGATTTCACATGTTACAATACATTTAGAACATACGAAATCTTTAAATCATCCCAGATGAAATCTACCTTTGAAGTTAAAAAATACTTGTTTCGTGTTTATTTAAGTCCGAACTACTCCTGAAAGCCTGCTTCCTGAATTATACTCTGAAATGTGGAATATCTTCCTCCCTTCAGCAGGAGTGAGATTTGTTACTAATTTTCTACTTTGAAAATTATGAATCAGTTATGTTTTTAAGTTTATACATGCAGTATTGAAGAGATTGGTGACAAGCTTATTGTGTTTTCTCAGAGACCATCTTGGTGGCCCTTCGAGATGTCTCCTGGTGTGTTAACTTTTGCCATCATATGGCCTTTTATTGCACAATGGTTGGTGTATTTATACTATCAAAGAAGGAGAAGGTAAGAGCAGTTTTATCATTTGAAATGGTGTGTAACTCTCATAACCTGTAACAGACAGAGCTTTCAGCAGCAGTTAAGGAGATAATAGGTCAATTTTATGGATACATTGTCATAGTGAACATTCTGTATTTATCCTGAGATGGAAACTCCCTTGGAAATGATATCTTGTGGATTCCTAGGTACTTGTTAGACTTAAAAACATTTTCACTTGAGAGCATCTGATGGATTTATACACCTTTGAGTTAGGCAACAACACAAAAGTGATTACACGCTTCTCTCTCTTTTTTTTTTTTTTCAGACTGGGATCGCATTTTGTTGCCCAGGCTGGAGGGCAGAGTGGTTATTCACGGGCATGATGATGTGCACTGAAGCCTCAGACTCCTTGGTTCAAGTGATCCTTTCTGTCTCAGCCTCCTGAGTGGCTGAGACTACAGGCATATACCAATTAAAGGCACAGTGGCTCACACCTGTAATCCCAGCACGTTGGGGAGGGCAGGGCAGGAGGATTGCTTGAGCAAAGGAGTTTGAAACCAGCCTGGGCACCATAGGGAGGTACTGTCTCTATTTTTAAAAATTAATCAAAAAGGAATTTGGAGGTAACTTTATTTTTAAAATTTATTTTATTTATTTTATTGTTATTTTTTTCGAGATGGAATCTCGCTCTGTCACCAGGCTAGAGTGCAGTGGCACAATCTTGGATCACTACAACCTCCATCTCCCAGGTTCAGGTGATTCTCTTGCCTCAGCCTCCCGAGTAGCTGGGATTACAGGCATGTGCCACCATGCCTGGCTAATTTTTGTATTTTTAGTTGGCTAGACTGGTCTCAAACTCCTGACCTCAGGTGATCCACCTGCTTCAGCCTCCCAAAGAGCTGGGATTACAGGCACAACCAACAGTGCCTGGCTGGAGGTTACTTTGAGGGCCAGAATTCCAGTTTGGGATGACAAGATCCCTCAAATAGGTCAGAGAATAATAGATTGGAATCCCTGAAAGTAACCCTGAGTCTGTCCATGTTAGGAATAACCTGAGGCCAAACCCTTGGGTTCAAGAAAATCCTTAAATCTAAAAAGTTGCCAGGTGTGGTGGCTCCTGTCTATAATCCCAGGACTTTGGGAAGCTGAGGTGGGTGTATTGCTTGAGCCCAGGAATTCAAGAACAGCCTGGGAAGAAAGTGAGACTCTGTCTCTACAAAAAATATAAAAAACAAAATAAAAAAATTGGCTGGGTTGGTGGTACACACCTGTAGTCCCAGCTACTTGGGAGGCTGAGGTGGGAGGATCACTTGAGCTCAGGAGGTTGAGTCTGCCGTGAGTCATGATCAGGCCACTGCACCCCAGCCTGGGTGATGGAGTGAGACTGTCTCAAAAAAAAAAAAAAAAAATACAGACCTGATTTTAAATCCTTTTCTTTCCTTCTTCTACACATTTTTCATTCCTCCAGTGGGTTTAGTGCTCTACGCTGTTTTATATTTGAATATCCCTGGTAACAGGAAAGAAGAGCCAAGCCTTCGTTAGGTATGTGGTAATGCTGGCTATGAGCAGCAGGGCCCAGTGCCACTAAGGGTAGATGTTTACACATTTGTAACGCATTTCAAAGTTCCTTTTCCTGTTTCCCTTGTAGAAAGTCGGGAGTTCGAGAGGAGAGGAATTTGCTTAAAAAAAAAAAAACCCTAAAGCTTACTTTGGTTAATAATTTATTTTATGCTTAAGATGGAACCAGCTTATTACTTTATAAAACATTGAAAAAACAAACGATACTCTGCTTCAACAGTCACAGAAAATTCGAGTTTTTCTAAAAATTGTTTAAATGTTTCTTACTATTAGAAATTTTGTAAAAGGTTGTTCACTATTTCTCCTAAGTATCCCTTTTAGTGTTCATGGATATCTCTGAATGGAGAAACTCTTTCCTATTTTTAATTTTCTACTTGGTTATTATTGAAGCTTTGTAAGTTTCTCACTGTATGTTGACTGTTTGATCCTTCCAAATTGCAAATTATTACCACTGTGCAACATCATTTTGACAAGGCATAGTGTTTTTACCCATATTGTTTGCTTATATATGTAATAGATGAACTGAGGTTGGAGGTAGGGCCATATTTGATATGGAAATAAGTTTTAGCCCTGAGGAGATTTAGGCATCTCTTAATCTCACATTGTTCAGCAATTTTTAATCTGATAGTTAAACGAATGAAGACTAGAGAGAGATATTTGCCATTGCACTCCAGCCTGGGTAACAAGAGCGAAACTCCGTCTCAAAAAAAAAAGAAAGAGATAGATTCTGTGTTAGAGATGAAGAGAAATGTCTAGAAATCTGATTAGAATGGGGGAAAGTGTGGGCAAGTAGAGGGTGTGTCCTGCTTATAATGGGGATCATCCTGTAGCTCATCCCCCAAAACAGTGTCTGGCACATAGTAGGTGCTCAATAAATGTGTGTTGAGTCTATAACTGCATCCTTCTTTGGGTAAGATGGCAAATGGAAGTACCATAAGACATGGAAAAGCTTTCATTTTATTGAGTAAATATGCACATGGACACAGACATACTAGGATATGTACGATAAATATAGGATAGTCCTATATGTTTTACATATGTATAGGACATATAGGAATATATACATATAGGACTATATATATATGTGTGTGTGTGTGTGTGTGTGTGTGTGTGTGTGTATATATATATATATATATATATAGACAGAGAGAGGACTACCTAGGAGTCCTGTATATATATAGGACTATATAGGAGGCTGGAGTGCAGTGGCATGAAATTGGCTCACTGCAGCCTTCACCTCCTGGGTTCAAGTGGTTTTCCTTCCTCAGCCTCCTGAGTAGCTGGGACTACAGGTATGCGCCACCACGCCCGGCTAATTTTTGTATTTTTAGTAGAGACCGGGTTTCACCATATTGACCAGACTGGTCTTGAACTCCTGATCTCAGGTGATCCAGCTACCTTGGCTTCCCAAAGTGCTGGGATTCTAGGCATGATCCAGCCTGGGATATGCTTTTGAAACTAAGTATCTTTTCCTTTGACATTAAAAGTAATACACAGAGTCTACTGTTTAATTTTTTTTCTAGTGTAGAATAATATAACTTTAAAAGTAAAAGAGATTTCTTAAGCTGTCACTCTGCAATGGATCAGAAAAACATTCTGTATGTGATAGGGGGAGCAGTACCTGCAGACTTCTTGTTCAGAAAAAGGCCCTGAAGCGTCTCCTGTGGTAACACCTGTCCCTGGTTGTCCAGCCTGACAACTCTGCTATTAAAATTATCCTTGAGTCAAATACTGAAAGCAGACTTGTAATATCCAAGAGATTAAACTAATACTTTATTTATTTATTTACTTGAGACAAGGTGTCACCATCTTGCCTGGGCTGCAGTGTAGTGGTACAGTCATAGGTCATTGCAGCCTCAAACTCCTAGGCTCAAGCAATCCTCCAGCCTCAGCCTCCTGAGTAGCTGGGACTGTAGGCAGATGTCAACTAATTTTCTTATTTTTTGTTGAGATGGGGGTCTCACTATTGCGCAGGCCAGTCTCGAACTCCTGCCCTCAAGAGATCCTCCTACCTCAGCCTCTCTTGTACTAGGATTACAGGCCTGAGCCACCATGCCTGGCCTAAATTATTACTGTTACAAGAAAGGGATCCCAATCCAGACCCCAAGAGAGGGTTCTTGGATCTTGCACAAGAAAAAATTCAGGGTGAGTCCATAAAGTGAAAGCAAGTTTATTAAGAAAGTAGAGAAATAGAAGAATGGTTACTCCATAGACAGAGCAGCCCCAAGGGCTGCTGTTTGCCCATTTTTATGGTTATTTCTTGATGATATGCTAAACAAGGGGTGGATTATTCTTGCCTCCCCCCCGCCTTTTTTTTTTGAGACGGAGTCTTGCTCTGTTACCAGGCTAGAGTGCAGTGGCTCAATCTTGGCTCATTGCAACCTCCGCCTCCTGGGTTCAAGCGATTCTTCCGCCTCAGCCTCCCGAGAAGCTGGGACCACAGGCGTGTGCCACCACACCCGGCTAATTTTTTTTTGTATTTTTAGTAGAGATGGGGTTTCACCGAGTTGGCCAGGATGGTCTCGATCTCTTGAGCTTGTGATCCGCCCGCCTCAGCCTCCCAAAATGCTGGGATTACAGGCCTGAGACACTGCGCCCAGCCATGCCTCCCCTTTTTAGACCTTGTAGGGCAACTTCCTCACGTTGCCATGGCATTTGTAAACTGTCATGGCGCTGGTGGGTGTGTAGCAGTGAGGATGACCAGAGGTCACTCTCATCACCATCTTGCCTTTGGTGGATTCTGGCCGGCTTCTTTCCTGCAGCCTGTTTTCTCAGGAAAGTCTTTATGACCTGGATCTTGTGCTGACCTCCTATCTCATCCTGTGACTTAGAATGCCTTAACTGCCTGGACACGCAGCCCAATATGTCTCAGCCTCGTTTTACCTAGCTCCTATTCAAGATGGAGTTTCTCTGGTTCACACACCTCTGACATTACTTTGAAGGAAAGGACGTTTCTAACCAGTTTTCTTAAGCAGCATGCCCAGATTCCTAAATTTGCTATCATGTAATTTTCTTGGGGACACTCAGCCTTCAGTAGAGAGGTAATAAATACAAACTGATTGGGAGTGGGGAGGGTCTCAGGAGGAACATTCTCCAAATGGAGCCTAAGGCAGAAGGCACTGACACAAAATGTCAGGGCTGGGCTTCTGAGGAGGAGAAGGAATCGCAGCAGTGCAGCTAGAGCAGCATTCACCGTGGTGAGGGGGAAGGCAGAATTTATTTCTGTTCCCTTATCTGTTGTTTCCTGTGACTTTTCTTCTATCACTGCATTTTGCAAGTTGATTTAAAACGAAACCAAACAGAAAGATCTCACTAAGAGCCCGAAAACAATTCTAAAGTTCTGAAGACAGTGATTTATGTTCATTCTATTACACCAGAAGATTGGGGGTTCAGGCTGGGCTCAGTGGCTCATGCCTGTAATCCCAGCACTTCAGGAGGCTGAGGTGGTGTGTGTCGGGTCAGGTCTTACTAGCACAGGCCTCCATAACATCTGTTTCAGTACTGACTGACAGGTTAAGTTAAATGTTAAAAGCCAGTGCCCTTATTAAAAGGCTGGAATGTGACAAAAGCCCACCAAGTGTTTTGCCTAGAGCTTTCCTGGGCCTTAAAGCATGACAAAATAAGTAAAGAATTCTTAACAGGATCCATTTAGGATTAAACAAGTTTTACTGTGGGTCTGAAGAAACTCCCCAGGCCTCCACAAACAAGCTTATTGGGGTCTGAAGGAGCTCCCCAGACCTCTGATTTGGTAGGGAGGCAAGATAACGGTAATCACCCCAGCACCTGGACCCATTTAGATTAAGTAAATTTACTGAGGCACCAGAAGCTTCAGGACTCAGACCTTGGTTATAGATTAAAATAAAGTAATCACTTACGTCTTTAGATGAATGCACACTTACACATAGACATATAAGCTCTAGAAAACTGTAATTTTGAGATGATCTGGCGATAATTTCCAGGCCTTCTCCCTGTAACTGGCTGGCAGAAATAAAAACTCTCTTCCTCCCCAGTTCATCTGCTTCTCATTATTGGGCTCTTAGAAATAGAAGCCTCACCCTCACTTTGGTCCAGTAACAGGTTGATCACTTGAGGTCAGGAGTTCGAGAACAGCCTGGGTGAAACGCCATGTCAACTAAAAATACAAAAATTTTCCAGGTGTGGTGGTGGGCGCCTGTAATCCCAGCTACTTGGGAGGCTGGGGCTATAGGTGAATAACTTGAATCCGGGAGTTGGATGTTGCAGTGAGCCGAGATCGCGCCGCTGCACTCCAGCCTGGGTGACAGAGCGAGACTCCATCTCAAAAATAAAGAAGATTGGGGGTTCAGAGACAAAGTTAATCTGCCCTTTTATAAATCTGCAAAGGATTGTGTGTCGTAATCTGCATCACACAGATTCCTGATAAGTGTTGCTAACTGTTCAGGCACCTGCAGCTAACATTCTTGCTAAAACGTCACTTAGGCAGTTTGTCTTTACAGCCACCCACATCTGTTTTGTCTTAGTCGACCATTTCAATTCTCTTCCTCCAGGGGCCTGTTTTCTTCCTGCTGCCTGGAGCTCCTTCTGTTATGTGAAAGTTGATCTATTTAAAATGTCATTCCTGCCAAGGAGGTGTACATAAGAGGATTTCTGTAAAGGATAAGGAATGATCTGATAATTTAAAATACCACTCCTGCCAAAGGAGTTGCATAAGAGTATTTCTACAGAGAGGATTCAATCTGTTATGAGAGTTTCAGGCATTTTGGCATCTTGAGTGCTGGGGAGGGTTTGAAGATTTTAGAGCAGAACCCAGATCATATGTGATTGTGTGTCTTGTGCTAACAAGCCCACCCTTTTCTGATAGCTCATTCACTCTTCCGTCTTTGAAACCATCACATTGCATTTATGCAAGTTTGGAGTTTATATGTCTCTTTGTCACCTACCACCTCTCTTGAGGCCTGAGAGCCTGCCTCATTTATCCTTGAATCCCCAGAAGCTGGCACAGAGCCTGGAAACTAATGGAAACATAATCCGTGTTGATTAAATGAATAGTCCAGGTTGTACATCTATTACCCTTTTACAGTTTTATTAAACATTTGTTTCACAGCTTTTCTATTTTGATAAAATTATGAAATTATTTCCACAAATCTTAATCATATAATAGCCAACCAGAAAAGGATAAGAATCTAGGAGAGAGGAGAAATGTACATTTAAATTATTTATTAAAAACTGGGGTCGGGGCCGGGCGCGGTGGCTCAAGCCTGTAATCCCAGCACTTTGGGAGGCCGAGGCGGGTGGATCACGAGGTCAAGAGATCGAGACCATCCTGGTCAACATGGTGAAACCCCGTCTCTACTAAA